TTTGGAGGCAAAGCTGCTGCAAACATCTGGGCAAAGCTATTTTGTAGATATAAGTTTCAATTCAGTTAGATACATATCTTAGCAGAAACCATCCGAGCATTTGTCAAGTGAATTAATGAATAAATGACCATCAGGTGCTGTGGAATAATCCTCCTGTACACTGTGTGAATATATGTTGCTATGAGAGGTTTAATAAACAAGCTAACTGGCCAATAGTTGAACAGAACAAAGTTAGATTGGAAAACCAAATTGAGAATAATGGAATGAGGAAGGGCAGAGTCGGGAGTCACCAGCCAGACACAAAGGGAGCAGGAGATGAGTGTGCCATGCTAATAAAGATACCACCATGTGGCAGATTGCAAATAAGGAATACGAGTTAACTTAAAATGCAAGAGCTAGTTGGTAACAAGCCTGAGCTATTGGCCTGCATTTACAATTAATATAAGTCTCTGTGTGGTAATTTGGAGGTAGCTCCTGGGACAGGAAAACTCCACTTACAATCAGCATAACTTTTTTTTTTCTTAGTGTAAGCTATTCTCAGTTTCTTTCCAAAAAAACCTGGAATTTCCAAATACTATTTCACATTAAAATCTAGCTTACAGAATCATGATCCTAGTATTTCCACCTGAAATTTCACTTCAAAAGTAACAATGATTGGCTAAGGTGGTTAATTTTTATTTATAGACTTTTTAAGAAACAGAACTATTCTGTTTCTTTTTTAAAAAATGTATTTACTTTATGTATATGAGTGTTTTGTCTGCATAGACATCTTTGTACTGTGTGCTCATGCATGCATGGTGCCCATGGAAGCCAGAAGATGGGGTTAAATACTCTAGAATTGGAGTTAGAGATGATTGTAAACCACTTTGTGGGTGATGGGAATTGAATCTGGTTCTCTGTAAGAACAGTCAATGTTCTTAACAACTAAGTCATCTCTCCAGGTATCCTCTTTGCTTTATTGACTACTTAGATGGATCTCCCGTGGTACAGGTGAGGCAGGAAAGTTCAAAAGCATCGCAGCCTACAGGAGAAAATTCGACATCTAAAGTTCACTTGTATGTTGGGATGCTCTAGTTTCCCCAGACTACACAGCCTGGTGTTTTCTTACGGTGCCTTTGCTTTGAAAGTACAGTCCATGGCTCTCCCACCTTGGTGTCTAGTGTAGGAAGGTGGAACATTTGGGTGCATTATATTAAAGGCTGACACTGAACTGTTACTATGAGCATAGGCCTAATATCCTGTTAACCATGTGCATAGTGTGCAAAACTTGCTAACACCATTGGGAATTTAATTCCTTTGAACCAACTACTTTTCTTTTCACTCAAAGCAGTGCCATAAGGGTGCATTTCAATGATTTCTGAGTTTACCAAAATAATTTGTATTAAATAACACTTAGAGCATATTAATCTAAAATGGAACATACAATGCAAATTAAATCTTACAACTATTCCTGAATATTTCAAGTTCTGTTTACGTCATGTTGATAGGCCAAACTTCAAAATGTACCATCCACATATAATAATAATAGTCTTCATTTATGTATACAATTCTGATAAGCATGAACTCAAATCCTACATGAGAAAATGCCTCAAAGAGCTCCATAGATTTTAATGAGTTTTAGGTTACTGAAGATCCAGTGAAAACTCTTTATCTTCTTTTAAACAAAACAGTTCATCTATTTACACATCAAGTAGATTTTACATACAGTTTCAGGGAAGTGACAGAACAGTTGAAATGCATGCTCAAATTCCTTCATGATCCACGTCCAGGCTAAGAACTCTAGGAAGGGTTTATTATATGCATGCATAATGTTTGACATTTGTAAAGGCTTTGATTTAACAGTAAATGGGTGATGCTTTCCAACAGCAATGAGAATCTGATTGCAGCATTTTGACCAGGGCTTGTTTTCACATGACTTATGATAGATACAGTACAGAGAAACAGTGGAAAGTCTTTTGAAGCCTCTAGATTTAGCAGACAGAGCATGATCAGTTAGTTACCAATCTAATGTTTATAGAAGAGACTCACAAGTTGGAAAGAGAAGGAAGAAAGGGGGAGGGAAGAGATAGAAGGGCAGTGTGGGAATGACAAGGGAGAGAGGTGTATATATAATAGAAACATTAAAAGTCCTCTAAAAGTGATTATGGAACGGATTATGTTTATGGAAATACCGGGAGAGCATGATAATGAAAGAGAGAAAGGTTTCCTGAGGAGAACAAGCTGGTGTTGAATGAAAATCCAGAGAAGAGTCACACTATGGACAAATGGTTTCCTGCATCTGTAGCAGGGTAAGGACTTCATTTCCTTCCACCTGATCCAGTTGCAGGTCAGACCTGGTGCAGTCAGAAGCAAGTTTCTAATACAAATGCCTCCTTCAGCAGCAGCAAGGCTATAGTTATTCACCATCTCACTAGGTCCTTTTGCTGGGTTGCATTGTCCTTCTACTCTCTTGACATCACACCCTAGAAGAGTCCTTAAGGTGACACAAGGAGCTGTTGTTATTTGATACTACCTCATTGGTTCTCCTTGCCTCTTCCCACCCATTTCTAACCCTATGACACCAAGTGTGTATGGAGAGTCTCATTGACTGGTTTGCTTGTTGGTGTGTTTGTTTGACCTTAAGTTTTAGTCTTTTGAGATTATATTTTTCTCTGTAGCTGAAGTAGATTTCAAATTTATGATTCTACAACCTCACTCTCCCAAGTGCTGAAATTACAAGCATGTACCACAACATGCCTCAAGTCTGAATTTTAATCCTGCATCTATCACCAGCTGCTACCTTAAGCAAAGACTGTTCTAAGTTTATCATTTCTCATGATAAATAGATTCTTGGAGCAGCTAGCTACACATGCAACAAATGGGTATATTATTCTAAACTTAATAATCCAGGTTGTACATTTTTATTATTTGAAGTATTAATATGCAGAAGTAGAAACAAAGGAAAGGGGCATGTCAAAGGGAAGGAGTGGAGACAAGGCAGAAATGGGGACCAGTTGAAGGGAGAGAGAAAGAGGGAGGAGAGAGAGGGAGACAGGCAGGGAGGAAGGATGAGGAGCTCCGTGTCACCAGTGTGTGTCAGCTGATGCTGCCCTTCCTGTTCCAGTTAGGTTAATATGATCCTGGATATATCTAGGACTATAAGAATGCATTGAGAAAGAACATGCTTCATAATACATCTTATTTGTAGCCTTTCTCTCTCTCCTCTCCCATTTTCTCTCTCTCATCCCCCACCAATCTTGTATTTCATAAGTACTTAAACACTTGTTTGTACTTTGCTACAAATAGTATATACTTAGCATATCCTAACATACATAATCCATGTTCTTATTTATTGCATAATGTCTTATGCTATTTACTTTGAACACCTCTGTTATAATCATTGAGTGTAAGTCAGGGCATTTGTATGTTACAAAACAATTCCACCGAGGATTAGTGTAGCATGAATCTTAAAAGTTCTTATTAATAAAATCAAACCCGAGGCCAGTTATTGGGGTCAATGCTGGTAGATCAGAGAGACAGAACAAGCCACAGCTATCTCACCTTGCCAGTTCCTCAGCTGGTCCTGTTTCCTCAGACTGGAAGCCTCTGAGTCCTCATCCAGAAAGAATCTCAGCTGAACTGTGTTGCTCCAAAGCCTGAAAGCTTAACCAGCCAAATGCCTAACCAGCCAAATGCTCCTAGCCAAACGCTTCTAGTTTCTGGTCCTCACGCCTTATAAACCTTTCTGCTTTCTGCCACCACTCCCTGGAATTAAAGGCTGCTTTCTGGGATTGAAGGCGTGAGTCACCATGCCTGGTTGTTTCCAATGCGGCCTTGAACTCACAGAGATCCAGAGGGATTTCTGTCTCTGGAATGCTAGGATTAAAGGCGTGTGCTAACATTTTCTAGCCTAAGTATCTTGTGGCTTTTCTGTTCTCTGACCCCAGATAAGTTTATTAAGGTACACAATATTTTGGAGAACACAATACCACCACATTTCCTCTTTTTGTCTAAAATTAAAAAAGATTGTAACTAATACAAGAAAAACTATCTAATAAGTATATACAATATATATAGTCAAAAATTACATTAGCCATGTCTAGTCCATTAACCTTTGACAGATTCAGATAAAAACTCCATTATACATATTAACAATGTTCAGTCCAGTAACATCTGATAAACTCAGACCAAAAAATTCTCATTACTTATCTTATTTAAAACAAGTAGTTCCTTTTTAAAAGTAGATTCCATAATCTCCCTTTTTATCTTATCATATCCATATTCTCTCTTTTTTCTTTTTATAATACATTCAGTAGTCTACCTTTTGTCATTTTTATATCTTCCCCTTTTCCTTCAGTGTAGATTCAGTGATCTACCTATTTATCCTATTATTTCTTTATCTTTTTTCTCAGAGTAGATTCAATGATCTATCTCATATCTTATTCTCTTTTTCTTTTTGCTTTCTAGGGGTGAAGATATCTTTAGGGAATCTTGAAAAGAAAAAATTTAGGTTAATTGTCAAGTCCTGTATCATTTGTCCAGTCTCTGCATAAAAGGAAAGTTCAGGGCTTGTCACAAGTCCTTTCTCGAGTAGTCTGTCAGGCTGGATCATCTCAGCTAGTCATCTCAAAATTGTCCTGACCAGTTTGTAGTCCAAAGTTGATCTTTCCTTGGTGTTAATCAGCTTAATGGCTTTACCATAGTCCATGTGGAATCATTATTGTGGAGTTCTGTCGTCTTTTTGAAGATTTCAAAGTCACTGTTAGGCGTGGTCATGGTTCTCTGCAGACTTTTTTTTTTAAATGAAATTATGATTTATTTATTTATTTATTTGGTTTTTCAAGACAGGGTTTCTCTGTGTAGCTTTGAGCCTTTCCTGGAACTCACTTGGTAGCCCAGGCTGGCCTCGAACTCACAGAGATCCGCCTGCCTCTGCCTCCCGGAGTGCTGGGATTAAAGGCGTGCGCCACCACCGCCGCCCGGCCATGATTTATTAATTTACATAAAAATTACTTTTTACATTAAGAACTAATTTCTCTGATTGTTAAAAACAGTTTGAAGCTTTTACTACTGGGGCTCATGGGGACCAGTCTGCTCTTTGATCACTTGCTTCACAACCTCTGCCAGTTTCAGTGGGCCTACTTTATCTGTGAATCCACGACCATTCCAGCTGAAGCTCTGCAGAGCGTCCCTCAGGAGCTTGCACTCCCGGTTGTACTTCCAGGCTTCCTGCATTACTTCATTCAGTCTCTCATCTTCATTCTCTCCTTTACCAGCCTGGGGGAGGATACACTGGGCAATGACATCTCGAAGCTTTTCCAAGGCAATATTTGAATCCTCAGCTCCATTCTCATGGTCGTGTATATAAATACCATCCTTTGGTTTGGTGCCAAGTAACTTCCTCTTTCTCAGGATGGGGTTGTTCACAGAGTGTAGGGGTTTGAGGCTAACCTTGAGGTCCTGGATCCTCATATTGGCCAGCTGCTCGGCATGAGCCTGCTGGATCCCCGCGACCACTGCCTTATCCATCATCTGCTGAGCAGAGGGCAGCACATTATCCAGAGCCTCCGTCGAGTTGAGCCAGGGATGGTCCAGCACTCCCTCAATGGTGAGTCTTTCCTCTGGTTTGACCTTTAGGAGCTTCCTCACAACATCTTTGGCTATCTCTGAGATCTGGCTCCATTCTTCTTCTGGAAACTTGAAACTTCCTGTCATGATCTTTCTCCACATATCCTTTGGGATAGTCCGACTGTGGTGTTTGGAGTAAAAAGGAGGATATCCACACAGCATCACATAGATGATCACCCCTAGAGACCACAAGTCACAGCTCTTGTTGTAAGTGTAGGGCGTTGGCGAGGTAGGTATGATGCCAGACTTCTCCTTCTGATGCCTTCTCTGTGCTTCCAGTACCTGAGGTGCTACATAATAAGGAGTAAACTGGGGTGTCATCAAATCACCTTGGTCAACTTTAGCAAATCCAAAGTCACATAATTTCACAGGGGCATCCAAAGACTTATCCTTGAAAAGCAGATTTTCAGGCTTGAGATCTCTGTGCGCAATGTTTAGCAAGTGACAGTGCTGTAGAGCCAGGGCTATCTGCTTTGTTACTTGGCTGGCTTGCTTCTCTGTAAAGTGCCGGTGCTGCCTGATCCTGTGAAATAGCTCGCCCCCTTCCATCATCTCCATTACAATTAAGAGTCGAGCCCTGGGACTGGACTCGTGAGGAAACTGTACACTGTTAGCAAACACTTCGATAATTTGAACTATATTGGGGTGTGTGGCACACATCATGTGCAGACGCACCTCATTTCTAGCTTTTGGACGATCGAGAAGGATTTTCAGTGCAAACCATTCTTGAGTAGACTTCTTCACACAGACTCTGACTGGACCGCTAATTCCCGCTCCCAGCTTCTGAGTCCAGTTGATACTATATTCTTCCAAAATGGAGGTTTCCTTGATGGCTTTCTCCATGCCGCTATCCTCCGACATGCTCTGCAGGGCTCCCACAGCCTGGAGCGGCAGAGGCTGCATGGCTGTTCGGTGCCCTGGCAGCCCAGGAAGCAAAGGGCTCGGAGCTCGGGTCCCAGGGCCTTGGTTGGGCGCCAGATGTAGCATGAGTCTTAAAAGTTCTTATTAATAAAATCAAACCCGAGGCCAGTTATTGGGGTCAATGCTGGTAGATCAGAGAGACAGAACAAGCCACAACTATCTCACCTTGCCAGTTCCTCAGCTGGTCCTGTTTCCTCAGACTGGAAGCCTCTGAGTCCTCATCCAGAAAGAATCTCAGCTGAACTGTGTTGCTCCAAAGCCTGAAAGCTTAACCAGCCAAATGCCTAACCAGCCAAATGCTCCTAGCCAAACGCTTCTAGTTTCTGGTCCTCACGCCTTATAAACCTTTCTGCTTTCTGCCACCACTCCCTGGAATTAAAGGCTGCTTTCTGGGATTAAAGGCGTGAGTCACCATGCCTGGTTGTTTCCAATGCGGCCTTGAACTCACAGAGATCCAGAGGGATTTCTGTCTCTGGAATGCTAGGATTAAAGGCGTGTGCTAACATTTTCTAGCCTAAGTATCTTGTGACTTTTCTGTTCTCTGACACCAGATAAGTTTATTAAGGTACACAATATTTTGGGGAACACAATACCACCACAGTTTAGTGTCCTTGAAGCACATTTATTTTTGCTCCCAAATTCTTTTAATTCCAGAGAAACATACAATCATATAAGACATTATGTGGTTTGTTTAGTGTTTTCATATGAGTTACCACATCAGAACATGAAAACTAAAGTTCAGAAAGAGTTAGTGACTCTCAACCAAGGTCTCATAACAAGTGAGCTAATGTACAAAGCCTATGCTACTTTTTCTTATTTTTTACTTCCAAGTCAAAAAAAATCTGTAAGTTAATCATGTACATTAAATTTATATGCAAGCATATATTATTAAATATATAATCCCACACGTAGTCTACTAAACAGCTTTTCTGTCCTTGACATTTCATTAGTGCTTTCAGTATCTTTGTGAGTTTGAATAATAGCTTTAATTTTATAAATAGAAAACCTGAAGCATGGTAAAGTGTGCAGTGAATTGAATATTCCTACATCTCAGAGAAAAGCTTTAATACACTAAGGTTCACAGTATTTAAACATGTCATTATGAAGCTAGTATTCTTCCACGGAGAAGTCACTATCAAGTCATTTTCATTCAGCTCTTTGAAATCATTAGTGATGTAGGAATAAAATATGTTTGCTCTGTCTTGCTTCTAGTTGTCCAGGGAAGCCATACATTAGATATAAGGTATGAATCCCCATCATGTTCTCCCATGCTCTGCTCTAGGCTTCTGCATCTCTACTACCTTTACAAATATGAAACATCCCAAATTTGACAAGAAACAGACTTCAAGGTCTTAGCAAAAAGTCCTGTGTATTCCTCAAAATTACTGCATTTGCACTTAAGCTGCTCAGACTTTCTACGTGTCATGAACAGAGGAGTTCTTACAAGGCAACATCATCATTTGATGGAATCATTTACCTCTTTTAGAGGTGGATCCAGGCAGAGGGACGTCCAACCACACAGAGGCAGAAGACAGGAACTTCCAAGGCTAGAAGCAGGTTCAGTGATGAAGTGAAGTTTCTACTTCAGGGGAATGTGAGTCTCTGAAAGAAAATGAAGGGAGAGCAGACCCCAGGGAAGTTGTGCTCACAGGACTGAAGATGTGATCTACAGAGGAAGACTCCACCTGCCACTGGCCTCTTCACTTAGGGAAGCATCAATGTATGAAGGACCCTCCTTGCTTTGGGAGTCAAGCCAAAACCATAGGCTTCATCTGTAACTGAAAGTTTTCCTCTGGTCCCACCTGGCTCCCTTGGCCCCAAGGTCCTGCAGCTGCTCAAACTCAAATAAGCACACAGAGGCTTATATTATTTTCAAACTGTATGGTCTATGGCAGGCCTCTTGCTAGCTAGCTCTTATATCTTAAGTTAACCCATTTCTATTAATCTATGTTTTACCACATGTTCCGTGGTTTTATCAGTCTTTTGGCATGTTGCTTCTCCTTTGGTGGTGGCTGGGGTCTCTCACTGCCTTCTTCCTGTCTCTCTAGTTAGAATGTCCCGCCTAACCTTATTCTGCCTCACCATTGGTCAAACAGCTTTATTTACCAACTAATCAGAGCAATACATATTCACAGCATACAGAAAGTCATCCGTAGCACTCATCTTTAAAGTCCCCAAATGAAAGTGAATTGGGTGGGTTCTGAAAAGTCCACCCAGTTGAAAATGTACTTTTGTTCCAGTTCTGTGGCTGAGCTGTCTGTCCCAGTGTGGTGCTGTGCTCTCCCAAGGTTTCCTCTTTCTTTTGAGTTATAATTTCCTTTGGTGTAAACTTTCCACAGCCTCATCCCTTAAGAGTTATCTCTCTGCCCTTCTCCTGTCCAAGTAGATAACACCAACTCTCCACCTCAAGGACTGAAATCTTTCTGCAATCAGAAACACCCCCACTCTCCCTGGACAAATGTACACACACAGGGCTGGCCCCTAGTATATGCTTTCCCCTCTATGCTCTTCCAGTCTGTGAAACTGAACATTTCATGCTGTCGTTTTCTCCCTTTCAAAGGCAATGCCCTCCTATCCCGATCCTGAAGTTTGCTCCTTCTTTTCTAACTTGGGAGGCTTAATTTCATTATTTAAGTTTCTTATTCAACCTTGAATCTTTTCTATGTCAATCTGCAATGCCCCCTTCCACAGCCTCCAACCTTGCTGAATCTTGAAATTACCTAAACGGAATAAATAGATCCAGAGCCACTGCCATTACTGTCAAGAAGTAAAGAGAGGAGTGGCGTCTTCCGTTCAAGATGGCAGGGGAAGAAAAGATGGGAGGGGTCTGTCCGGAGCATGTGATTTGGGTGGTTCTCGTGAAGACAATATTGAATGTGAAGCTCTCCCTCCCTCTCTGTCACCTTTTTTCTCTTTTCCTATCTTTTTTCATTTTTTTTTTTTTTACTCACACATATTTTGGAATACTGAATATGTACCATATCAATCTCTGGAAAACTGCAACTTTAAAATTTAAGATATATATATATATATATATATATATATATATATATATATATATATATATATTCACTAACTCCCACCCACCAAAAAAGAAAAAAAGCTTAAGTGTGACAAGCAGAGTAGTACTTCAGAACCACTTTCTCATTTCAGTCTCAAAAGATCCAAATGTATGATGATCTCTGCATTAAGGAACAGTGATCAGTCAAAAGCTTGCTGACGTCTACATTCCATAATGTCCTCTCATTACAGCCTTTTGCTTCCCTGGTTAGGAACAAACATTTTGTGCACAAATGTTTTGATTAATTTCTGGTGGAACGTAAACAAATGTTTGGTGTTTTTTTTTTTTTAATTTCTGAAAATGTGGGTGGAATTCCAAAATACCAATATGCAAACTATCCTTTGATACATTAGGAATCACCTCTACTTTAATTGTGTTAGGTGTAGTGTTGCTTATTGTGTTATAAACTCACGCCTATCTAAACACTACGATTGAAAATACATTTTTGTTTTTTGGCTTTGTGTCTCTGTGTTGTTTGGTGGCTATAAATGTAATTGCAATACCAAACTGAAACAGGATTTAAAAAGAAAAAAAAAATGACCAAAGCTCCCAAATAAAATCATGCAATCCTCAGTGAACAACCAGTTTTAAAGTTTACCAGTGTTTAATTTTCTAATTGTTTTAGGCATGAAATGATCTTTGTTTCTGGTTGTTCTGGCTGCAGCTGCAGACAGCTGCAGGAATTGGTCCCCAAGTGCGACTTGTGTAACCCCTAAGACGTATTGGAAAGCTAACACTGCGTCTACTTTGCGGTTTTCCAATAAGAAACGTCTGTCCTCTTCCCTTGGCCAATGGGAAAAGAGACCCTGGAAAACTCTGTCTGGACTGCGGACCGATGGGCTGAACCAGAGCAGATTGTCCAGGAGCATCCTTCTGTGTTCGGGCTCCCCCTAGCCGCACAGAGCCGGCTTCTCCTCACTGCTGCGTTGCTAGGCTGCAGCTTTAACTGCAGACCAGATCTGCTCCAAGGAGCAAAGCTTTCTCTCCTCAACCACTCTTCTGAGGCTGGCGAGGCTGTAGTAAACATTCAGTAACCTGGTCAGAAAAGGGTCCTGAGGCAGAAAATGAAAAGGCATGAAAATGAAAAGATACTGTTTGGGGATGTTTTTAGAGGCGCTTTCCGAATGTCTACAAAAATAACAGCAGCTCTTCCTGGTCAATATCTTTATTGGCTTTTGCCTCCAAAGGGAGCAAGTTGGTTGTGTTCGCTTATTAAGCTGCTTCCATTTCACGTGTAACATATGCCTTGTTTACAGGAAGTGGCAACTCACCCTGGCAGAACCCACCTGCCGAGGGAGGGGTGGAGTCGACAGGCATCACCCAAAGCCAAAGCCACAGGAGACAGAGAGCGATCCCAGAGCGCCCCCACCCTGTGCCCCATCTCCCGCCAGAGCCACTGCAGAGCGGTGAGGCGTCAGGAAGAGAGAAATTAGAGATGGTTTAGTTTTTCTCTTCCTCACCAAAGTCTGCGGTTACTGTTCTTGCAGAAAGACAACAGAAGACATCCCCCACGAGGCCTGTAGCAGCTTCAAAGCTCTGCCTTTAGGCACTGCCATAACACTGCTGCTTTCTCTTGTCTTGTCTTTGCACTGCGGGAATTAGGAAGTACCAAACAGATGTAGCATAATGTATTGGTTAAAGCTATCCTGTTATCCGCAGAGTAGGCTGAAAAGACAGAACATAGCTACTGGTGGTTTTTTTTTTTTTTTTTTTTTTTTTTTTTTTTTTTTTTTTTTTAATGGAATCAAATGAAGTCTTTGAGTCAACAGTTGTGATGCAAGACACTATTTTGAGAATTAGAATATCCAACAAACAAACAAACAAATGACAAACATCCCTTGATGGGTGGTGTCTCGAAGGAACAAGTGATGGGATGTTAAAGCAACACTTGAAGAAAGCCACAACTGTGGGACTTGGGGGAATGAAAGTTTCCAGG